TTCTTTTTCAATTATGTAATTCAATTAAATTTTTTAATATATTTTTATACTTATTTGAAATTTGTAATTATTTAAATAAATAGCGATAAGATGACATTTTGCTTAAATATACTTAATAAGAACAAATATATTTTTATTTTTATGTTATACAAATAATATTTTGTTTATCATATTATACTAGATCATAATTAATGTAGAAAAGAAATCTAAAAAGTAATAAAAAATTAAATATCTATGTATAGATATATTATTTAATTTAAAGATCTTTAAAGTAATAATCAATACTTAATGAATACATAAATTCTAAAGCATTTATTTATTCGAGAAAATTTTAAAATATTTATGATTGCTAGTTTTATAAATAATTTTCGATGGCATTCTTTTAGTAATAGTAAAATGTGAATCTTACAATTTTCAACAGTTATAATTTTTCCAAATTTTTATTCTTCACTTTGTCTGGGTGAACACATGATGTTTAATCTCATTTCTGTAATGAATTATAGTCGATTAATCAAAGTTACAGTTATTGATTTTATTGAGACAAAATTAGTGTTCATCCAGACAAAGTGATAAATAAAAATTTGGAAAAATTACAACTGTTGATAGTAATATGAATTTTTTTGATGTACAAGGTGATTGATGAACTAAGCCTCACAAATTATTTCTGAAAATATAAGTTTTTTTTTTTTAATATTATTGATCTATTTTTGGCTGCTCAGTGAGTAAAATTACATTTTTATGATCATTACTTATGCTTTAAACAACCATATATATATATGTTTAATACAAATAATATTATATTTATATATTAAGGTAGCTATGGANATACAAATAATATTATATTTATGTATATATGTATATTAAGGTAGCTATGGACAGCTTGAAAAATAAATTGAACCAACAAGCTGAAGTTAAAGGTTATTTAAAACTCAGCGATCTTAAAGAAAAAGAAAAATATGAAGTAATAGCTATGAAAAATGTTAATACAAGAAATGGTACGGTGGTGGTTGCCCAACTTATAGACAACAACCATGTGTTTATACCAAGAATAAAATTAACAAATGAAGAAATTAACGAATACAATAATAATGATAAAAAAATATTCTTAAAATATAATGGCAAAATCGGAAATGCTTACATAT